ACCCAACCTAAGAAGATAAGGGCTGCCATGAAAGATCATATCCCCAAAAGCGATACAATTTTGTGAGCTGTAATAGAGGGAGCAGTAAGAGTTTGAAGAACTGAAAGCTCCATCAAACAAAGTTGAAGAGGAGAAGGTTGGTCCGACTAAGATGGGTGTTGAAAAAACACCCAAATGGACAAGATATTGTGGAGGTCGTAGGAATAACTTCTAAAACTTGATTAAACAGCCCACTGGAACTGCCTCCAGGAGCAACTGATGAGTGTGATGGGCAGACTCCTGTTCAGAATGAGCCAACGGTATAGCCAGTCATCCATAGAATGATGAAAGTGCAACACGAGAGCATGTAAAGGATGAGAGAATGCTCTGACCACTCAACAAAAAACATACGAGGCTGAAGCAAGCTCAAAGGATAGTGCACAAAACTGATAAACCACACCTTGGTGAACAAACCGAAGATAGGGTCGCAATTGATGAGATACTGGGATATGCAAATAAGCATTAACAACGTCCATCTTGGTCATCCATAAACCTGGAAAAAAGCCCATCTGAGGGTGAGAAATAACTTCATGGTGAAACAGGGCAGACTGAGAAATTGATTGAGGCAGGACAAATCTATTACAGACTGTCAGTCTCTGGTGTTCTTGGGGATAACAAACAGCCTGGAATAAATGACTAGAGAAAAATGATAAACAGGTTCAATGGCTTGTTGAGACACAAGGTCTTGTATTGTACAGCCTCTGACAGGTTTGGGGAAGGAAATAGGTACCGGAGACAAAGGAAGGGGAAAAGAAATTGTAGGATAAGTCCCTCTGATACAACCTGAAGAACCCACAGATCTGTGGTGAAAGATTGCCAAAGGGGAATAAATTCATACAATTGAGCTCCCACTGGGTAGTCACCAGTACTGTCGGCGACGTGCTCATTTTCATCAAATAATACGATGAGATGAGAAACTCCTGGAAGGAGGAACAGGTTGGAAAACTGGAATAGGGGCTTGTCTTGGCTATGACTGCAACAAACATGCTACCAAAGAGGAAAGAGTGTTGATGCACAGACTCCACACGTGATTCCAAAGTCTCAGGTACATGACTGAAAACATACTGCTGAAGTAAAGGGGCCGTACATAAATCCCTAAGATAAGGGGTGGCAAACAAACCTGGAACAAGGCCTCATCTTGACCCAGAAAATCCAAAGGTGATAATCTAGCTAATGTGGAGATAATAAGGGAGAGGCTTTCCCCCGAAAAACCCTCAGGGTCTCAGTGGATCACCTCAGAAAGGAGCTGGATAGTAGATAAATACCATAAAAGGGAAGAAAGGGTAAGATGAAGGTGTGAAAACTGGACATGGGTTAAATGCACTGAAAAATCAGGGACTGCCCCCCACATGGATAAAATCAACCCCAACTGATGAGAGTCGAGAAACAGACAGTCAGCCTGATGGTAACCTAATGCAAACTGATACACAGCCCATGGAGGGCGAGGCATGCTGGCACCCTCAATCAATTGTGAAGCATGAACCCTAATATCTGGGGAGAGTGGGAAAACTAAATATGGAGAGGAAAAACTATCATGCAACAAAGAAGGGCAGGAATAATAGGAAATAGGGGAGAAATGGATAAAACATACATACCTGAAAAATCATATCTAAAAATGGGGTATTAGGCCTAGCTGATTCTGCAGCTGGAGCATAGGAAGACATGGCAACATCCGGAAGGTGGAAAAAGTTATCAAAATCTTCATTGGCCCAAACAGGTTCGACTTGCTCAGGAGGAGGTTGACCCATATAAAAAATCAATCTCATGGCAGATAATCACAGATAAGTCCAACGATGGGTCTCCCCCACCTGCAGTCTGTGAAATAGTGCTAGTAGGAGGTATGATACTTGAAGTGGTAACATGAACCTCAGAATTCAATGTAGAAATATATATCAAACAAAAATGTTTAATGTAAAAAATTCGAGTGTGAGAAAAAAAAAAAGACTAGGAAATGAAGTTAAAGTAAAAGACTTCTTCGATGTAAAGAAAAAAATTAATGAAAAATTAAAAAAACTTTAGAAATTAAACAATTAAAGTCATGAATGTGAATCACAAGAACAGCACCAAAAGAAAAAACTTCTGAACACAAGTACTGCCAAATGAGAAGTGATAGTTTGGTAGAACTGAATAGAGGGAGTCACATGCATCATGAGAGTATGTCGCACTCTTATTGGTGGATGATTGTTACACGAGAGACACATTTGAATCAGGCAATTCCAATTGAAGGGAGATAAAAGGCTTGTGGCATGCGGAAATTTTTTTTTACATATTGAATGAAGCACTGAACAAGAATAGCTATTTATGTGAGAGGAGGTAAGGTACTGTATTGGAATTTCATAGATGGTGAAGTGGGATAATGTTTTTTTTTCAGTGTTGGTTTATAGAAAACTGCTTTCGATTGCCATTCCATGAAACAATAGATCATGTCACCCCTGGCCACAAAAATTAATCACTTTTCCCATATTTGTACTTCAGATTCTTACTTCAAATCAAAATTAATTTTCTTACATGTAGTTAGAGAAAGAAGCTATGACCCTAAAATTACTGATAGGTTGTATAATAAGCATAAGTCACTATGCAATAAGTTACAAACAAAAAAAAAGGGGATAGTTGATGGCACGAAGGTTTGCTTGCCACATCTTCAAGATACGTCAACAAGAATAAGTAACATAATAAAAAAATGTATATATGTTATGATAACTTTCTTTCTACATTATAATTGTTTCGCGAGTGTATAATATTAATATAACAAGCTGCTAAATTTGGTATTTATAAACTTTCTTATGTCTGTGGACTATTTTATACTGACCAAATGTGAAGAAACTGAAAATTCTAAATTAAAGAACATAAAAGTGCAGTATACAAATGTAAAGAAAATGAACTGACCATAATAGAATATGTGGAAAGCACATCTCACATCATAGACTAGAAAAATGTTAAATTGATGAATCACAGGTTGAGTTTAAGTGGGAACTAAATATTAGAGAATTGGTAGAAACTGAGAAGAACTAATGATTATATTGAATAAAGATTTTATTCCAGGTATGGATGAAATGAAATACTGGAAATCAGTTTTGTAAGCTCTACAGGAAGAGTTGGGTTAATTGTGTTTGAGATTGAGTGTATAATGTAGAATAAGCAAATTGAAGGTGAGATAGGTGTACAAGTTAGTATCAGATTTTAACTCTTACTCCTGATGATGGTGGCATAGGGTTCTACCAAAATATGCACAAGTTTTTAGGGTTATATCTTTTTTTAATAAAGTTAATCTAAAGTTCATATTAATATTATGCCTGTGCATAAGTATTACTTAATTTATTTAACTATAACTAACTTTACACAAACTAAGCAGACAAAATAATATTATTAGAGGAGTTAACAGGTCTAAGTGAAGTGATTTAGATGGAATAGGATATCCAAAGTTGGATATGTTGGTTAGGTTACATTACAGAGAACTATAACCAGCTTTACATGAAAGAAGTGGGCAAAGTCAACAGTTAGCTTCACTTGGTAGACCTCATCCACCAACAGTGCCTCCAGTCTTTCTCCAATGTTTTTGAGTGGAATTGATCAGAGATGGATTTGAATTACCCAGGTTAACATAAGTCTGGACGATCTGTACAGACAACCCAACTTGGTCTCAAATTCACCAGTTATCACACCACCATGATGATCTCCAGTCTGTGTATACTATGCACTGAGGTTGATCCTTGGGATATGAAGATAAAAAACTATTCTGACTCCCACAGAAATCAGCAGCTTTCCTTCACCAATCTTTGCTTGTACTGAGACTGAAGTCCTGCATCTTCACATCATCAGTGAAAGTCCTACATTTAGGAGAGGACTTCTCATAGGCCTGACAGCATTCTTGAACAGCTATCTTCTGACAGCAACCAACTCTCCATTTTGTTCATATGTTATTATAGTTGAAGAGAAAGCCATTTTCTTTAACTAAGAAACTTTTTAAACTTACTGTACAGGAGTTCAAGTAAAAGATAGTACAAAAGTTAGTATATTAACAAACTTGCAATAATAATACTATCCACTGGTAACAGCACCAGAACTTTCTCCTACTTATGCATTATGTGGTATGTCCAGGTGAAACTGAATTAACTTTCAGATCTATATCAGATAGGTCAGCTTCATAACATGAGGTGCACTCAAGATATCGATTATGAAGTAATACTAAATCTCTTACTAACCGAGTTGTGATGTTAAATAAAATAATGAGATAGGAAAGAAACGGTATAATACAATCTTTATTAAGACATCAAGATCAAACACAGTGTGTGTACATGTTTAAATAAACACTGACTAAATATAACAGTTCTTAACATGCAAGCAACCTCACATTTACCCAATGTGACCTTCTCTCCTCATGTGACTGGTCATCCTCATTACAAAATAGGTGGGGCCATAACTGCTAGATATCCCTGAACAATCAGTGAAGGACACTACTGTTGATATCATTATACAATGTGAAGTAGTGAGTAACATCATTTCTGGATGGAATAGGCTTTATTCACTTTAAGAACAACAGAGGTAGCTTAAAACAAAGTCAACTTAAGGCTTTGTCAACCACACAAACACGCAGAATAAAGAAATGGTTCAGAACAAATACTATAACACCATAAGAACATAGAAACATATGGCATGTTCTATGGATTGGGAAGGTTAATATTACCCTAATAAAAAGAAAAAATATATCTGCAGGCTGCTTACATTAATGCAACAATAAGAAAAGTGTAACATCTGTGGAAAGTTAATACTAGTACTTCAATAAGAACGGCCTAATAGCTGTACACAACAATTTGCTAAAGTTCTAGTGAATTTCTTCAACTTGTGACTACAAACATCTCATCACTGATAAGATTCTAGACAAATGAAATCCAGAAAAATATCGTCACAACTACATACTCACTTTAATAAGGCAAGTGTAATACTTTTAATCTATAAATTACCTCAGTTTTCTCTGTTTTTTCATCAGAATTCTCTTCTTGCTCCTCTTTTGCTATGTCAAACTTAAAATTGGTACGCGAAGAACTTTCTTCAAAAGAATCAGCTCCTTGTGTTGCTAGAAATATAAATAATGTAGATTTGTCTATAATAAGACAATATATATTGAATTTCCCCAAGTTCTATGCTAAATCCCCTTAAATCCCTTTTCTATGTAGATTTTACAGTAGATTTGTCTATAATAAGATTTGTTTGTTTGTTTGTTTTTTTTTAATTTCGCGCAAAGCTACACGAAGGCTATCTGCGCTAGCCGTCCCTAATTTAGCAGTGTAAGACTAGAGGGAAGGCAGCTAGTCATCACCACCCACCGCCAACTCTTGGGCTACTCTTTTACCAACGAATAGTGGGATTGACCGTCACATTATAACGCCCCCACAGCTGAAAGGGCGAGCATGTTTGGTGTGACGGGGATTCGAACCCGCGACCCTCAGATTGCGAGTCGAGTACCTTAACCACCTGGCCATGCCGGGCCCTATAATAAGACAATATATATTGAATTTCTTCAAGTTCTATGCTAAATCCCCTTAAATCACTTTTCCATTTTTAACTGATTGTATATGGTCTCAGTCACTTTAACCAACATTGCAACTATCAGGTAACCATGAAGGTATACATACTATAACTTTTACTGTAGTAAGTGCATCTTCCTGAAATTTGGCAATGTTTTAGTAAATATTACAAATCTTTTGTACATAAAAAGCAATTTTTAGATTAAATATTTTTACTAAGATTTTGATGTGAATTTATGGAACCAGAGTCTGATTCATATTCTGATTAATCTGAATGCAAGGTGCTTTTTATATTTAAATTAATTGTTTTAAATCTTCCAGCTTTCAAATTTCATTTAAATTAACCTCTAGAATATCCTAAATGAATATCAAAAGTTATTTTTTAGTAAAACTTTATATTTTCTCAGCCCTAACACTGTATACAGACTAGGTACATTTGACCAACCTTGTAACCACAATGTAACAAAAAGTACAAAATATAAATTACCATTTTTTTTTCTAGAATTGCTTCACATTGTAACACAGGCCTCAACAAATCCTGGGTGCCAAGTTGCCATGGTAACTAAAAAATTTCATTGTAGTGCCTAGTATTTTCTCCCATTTTATTCGTGCATAGGTAGGGATGTACTCAATAGACCTCGAATCTAGAACAGCTCTGGACTCTTGTAAGTTTGGAACTATTTTTCCATTCTTTGAGTCCTAAATTGAACTTTCTTTCTAGGATTTTAATGGTGGATACAGAACTTCATGTTTTTTCAGGAATGAAGTGCTTCAGTTGCACAACGCGTTACTAATTTTTGTGCTATTTTGTTTTTCTTCTTTCTCTCAATTCAACCAATCAGTATATGTGTTTAGGCTCAGACAGGGCCAAAGGCAGTTAGTTCAGGCAATACTATCAAGTGGTTGCTGATTGTTAACAGGCACTCATTGCTGTGAAAGTAAACAAATATAGCCCCACAAACAGTAGTGAAGTTATGTTAGGCACACCAAAAGGCCTTTTCTTATCGTTGTACAGTGTTGTAATAATGAGTAGATTAGACCTATTTTGAAACAGTCTGCCTGGCCTATCAATATCACAGTGATTATTTTTATTTTTACTTCATTCATTGCAAGAATCCACCTAAGTTATAGTAATTTAGTCTACTATTTTCATAATTGTACATATTGAAGTGTAGCTTTAATATATGTTACATAATAAAGTTTAATAATGAACCCTTTGTTTTTTAGTATAAAACTGTATGTCTCGTACCATAACCACACAACTGTCTCAAAATATATTCCACAACTTTTCTATATTGGACCTGGCTCCAAAGTTTTGGGCTGGCTCCTAGACCTGAAAATATTTGTCGAGGCCTGTTGTAATAAACAATTACATAGTATTTACTTTTAAAGCCTAAGCTTATATATTTTGCATGTAGTTTTATTTTTTCACAGTTGTACTTATCCCTCTCGAATTACTGTTATAGCTATTTATTATGCTGGACAGCTTTGTGTGTAAAATGGATCCAGTTACTAGCACACACTCATGTTGAATTACACAACCACCTTCACTGATATCAATTATGCAAATTTCTTCAACTTGTGACTACAAACATCTCATCAATGAAGTCCAGAAAAACATCATACTCACTTTATATATGTCTGTGAACATCAGTATTTCTCACATTTAATTTCATTTAAGTTTCCTTATGTAACCTAATAAGTTTCTAATTTTATGTCTTAGTTACTTTTTCAACAATAAATGAATACACAACTACAAAAACAGAGAAATTTAATACTTACCTCTGAAATCTTGTCATTTTCAAGCTTTTGCACTTGTACAATAGAAGTTGATATCAAGAATTAGCCCTAGTTCTTAATAATAATATTATGATTTCATATTTATTTTTGTAAAGTCAAATATGATATTGAGAATATAAATTTTGCCAAATATATAAAATAGAATGTCATAAAACTAATATAATTTTTCTGGCTTTCTAACTAAACTAGAAATGGCTTAGATAATTCTCATACCTAGTCAAGCAGAGCTCCAACAGTAGTAAACAAAGAAAACAATGCCAAAATGTTCAATGTACTTATTCCAAGGGCTTGAGGCCCAATAGTTGCCAATAAATCACACTTTTGGCTTGCTATTGGTTACAAATAATCTAACAGCAATTTCAAAAAGAATTTATGACAATTTTTTAAAGCAGGTGTTCTACAGGGGGTATGGCACATGCCCTTCACTTTATTGCTTATATCTTCATAAAGCAAAAAGCTTGGTTTGGATAAGTTGATGGCTTAGCTTAGAAAGAAATACAGGTTAAGTGTGAAATTCCATGGAAAGTTAGGAGGTCATATAGGGGTTGAAGAAAATCTAAACTGGATTATTCAGAGTGAAGAAGTGTCACGTGATACATACAAATGAAGATTGAGAATTTATTTAAGTATTTCCTTTTGAAATTAAAACTTATAAAATATTGAAATTTGAATTAAAGTTATAAATTTTCTATTGTGAAAATGTATTTCCGATAGGTACTTACCCCATCTCACAGATATAGCTATTCTCATTCAGTGCTGCCCTCTATATGCAACATGTACCTCTTTATCAATGTGGTTCAATTCTGTCTTGCATGTAAATCATCATATGATAACCCTTCACCAAGGAAGGATAATACCATTTTAAAATAATACAGTGGTTGAAGTTACGAAGCTAGCACACACACACCTGTTTTTTTTCTTTTCTTTTTGTTTTTGTCTGTATGTGTGTGTGTGTAAGAGCACAAACTAAACAATTAATTGAATGTAACAGATTAATAAGCCTATCAGTTAATTCATTAGTAAATACTACTAATCTCTTAACTCTACTTGTAATGCACCACTTACTGAATATGTGGTAGTTCAGGATGCAAAAATTGGGATTTGGTTATAGGTCAATTTACCCATAATGGTAAAATTTTCATCACATAATAATGAATTCTCCAATCAACAGCAGCACTGTAATATAGCATCCCTAATGTTGATACCTAACAAAGTATGTATTGAAGACACTTGTTAGTTCGATAAACTACATTGAATCATGGAAATATATGAATTTGTTCCAAAAGTATTTTAATGACATAAAAAATTACAAAACTGCTGTAAAAGGTTATCTCTACCATAAAGCAATTAAGTGAGATGGAGTTTGAGCAATAACATTTGTGACAGTAGAAAGTTCTTGGTATTGTTACGAAAGCGGAGGTCACGTGACGCTAGTAACATGTCATGCACTTCTCGAACGTTCAAATCCTCTTCCTGACTTCT